CTGAATAGGAGGCGGCAGGGCAGGGGGCCAGCCAGCCAGTCCACAAGGGAAGCTGGTTTTCAAACTGGCTCCCCTTGCAGACCGGTTCCTGCCTGGCATTCTGCACTGCTGCCTCTGGTGGAGAGGCAGCAGCATGGAGTGGCAGGGGCTCCCCAGGAGTGGGGCTGGAGCACACTGGCTGCTGGCCCCACCCCTGGAGACTACAGAATAGTTGAGTAACTGCTAAGAATTCATGCAATTAGTTGACTATTCAATTAACCGGTAACTAACATCCCTAGTGGGGGGGGGAGGCTGGTGGATCTGGGAGGGTGCAGCTGGTGGAGAGGCAGCAGCATGGAGTGGCAGGGGCTCCCCAGGAGTGGGGCTGGAGCACACTGGCTGCTGGCCCCACCCCTGGAGACTACAGAATAGTTGAGTAACTGCTAAGAATTCATGCAATTAGTTGACTATTCAATTAACCGGTAACTAACATCCCTAGTGGGGGGGGGAGGCTGGTGGATCTGGGAGGGTGCAGGTGCTGAGTGGGGGTGCATCAGCAAGCTGGGGGTGGAGTTGCTGCAGAGCCAGAGTGCCAGCACCAGCTCCCCAGTGCTGGGGGGAGCCCTGAGTCTTGGAGGCCAGATTCAGTCAAGCCGGGGGCCAGATGCGGCCCTTGAGCTAGAGGTTCCCCACCCTGTAGACAAAGCTCCAGAAATGGCCCTCTTCCTGCAAGCCCACCTTTCTGAGCATAGCGGTACAGCTGCAGTGAACACGCACACTGCTGTCCACTTCAGGAAAGAGTCGGGGGGTTCCTCAGCTGCACTGGGGGAACAGGCCAGGCAGGCCCTGCTGTACAATTCAAGCAATTACAACATGTGCCGCCCTTACGCCATGGCAAAGGAGACGGGAAAGGCCCAGACGCGCTGCTGTGCCTACCTGGACTGCAGCCAGCCTACCAAAAAGCCACAGAAAGTCCACGGCTGCCCCCGATACCTGCCTGCACAGTGCAGAGCGGGATCCCTACCAGGCAGGGAACTCACCAGAGACCTCTCCACAGCCGGAGAAAGGAACCGCAGCAGCACACCTGCTGAGGGGCCGTGGCTGGAGCCGGGGACTATGTTCTGGGGACAGATGTGCGGGTCTCCCCTCGGTCGCTCTCCTGTTCACCAGCCATCCCAGGGTCGGGTTCTTCACGGTCGGGGCTGTGGAGGGAAGGGCCCAGACTGTAGCCAGAGGCTGCTGTTTAAAGAATAGACCCATCCTCCTTGCATTCAGGCTGGAAAGGTCTTTATACCCAGTGCAGGGGCCATGTTCCGGTGGGGATACGAGTCTGAACAAGCGTTGACAGGCAGGGGCAGGGGTGAGCTGTGTGTAACAGGGACAGAGCGATTTATCACCCAGCTCACATGGGAACTTGGCTCTAAGGAAGCACCCTGGAGCTGGGACAGGACAAGCGAAGGGTTCGGCTCAGACACCCTCCTGCTCTGGTCTATGGCCCAGGGCCACCTTAGGCATACAATACAGGGCACTGCGTTGCCCCAAATTAATGAGTGTCCCATGATGCCTATGCCTAGTGCTGGCTCAAACGGGCACTGTGTTGCCCCAACTTAATGAGTGTCCCATGATGCCTATGCCTAGTGCTGGCTCAAACAGCCTCCATCCCCCACCCACAGCTCCTGCACTGCCTCCCAGCCCTGGCAGCCCATCCCCTGGGCCCCTGCCCCCTGCTCTGACCCCTCTGGTGTCAGTGGCCCCAAGCCCCCACGCCCAGCTCTGCCTCCCAGCCAGCGGTCCCCCTCCCCCCCCCCTTGCAGAGTTACTGCCCCACTCCCTGGAATGGGATGGGCGCAATGCTCGGGCTGCACAGGGCACCAGACCTCATGACGACAGCCCCGCTACAGCCTCCCCACGAGGGGCTGGGGCAGAGCAACCAGCGAGGCAGAGCTGAGTGAGCCTAGGAAACTCCTCTGCCTGCTGGAGGGAGGCGATGGTGCAAACCAGAGCTCTCCTGAGGAATCGGTGGGACTCACTGCCGCAGGGGCATTGCGGTGCTACTGTTGGGGGGCAAATCAGAGCCTTTTACATTAGCCTCTCCCTGCTACAGGTGGGGGAATGTTTTTCAGCCGGCAACAGGTTTTTTCCTCCACCCAAAAATGCATTTCGGGGGGCTCTGAAATGATTTGTCAAATATGGATCAAATCGGATTCATCGTTTCAGCCAAACCTTCCTCCCTGCCCTCCCCCCCGCCAGCTTTTTTGAACAAGTCAAACTGTTTTGTTTTGTCTTGTCTGTTTTGAAATGTTGCTTTCAAATTTGGCCTGTTAAGCACCCCCCTCCGCATACACACATCAACTAAACAGGGTCCAAAACCCCGGAAAAAGGCCAAACCTGAATGAATAAAAAACAAACAAACAAATCAAACATTTTGATGGATTCGAAATAATGGGCTCCCCTCCCCCCTCCAAGATTTTCATTCAACAAAAAACAGTCTGGAAAAAAATGGTTTCAGTTCAAACTGAACGATTTTTTCCCCAGATCTTTCAGTTCAGCTCCCAAATAAGAAAATTCATTATTCACTCAGCTCCACACACAAGCTTTCTCACCCCTGAGGAGACAGGCCATTAGTAGCATTACCCCATTTGGCAGAAGGAGAAACTGAGGCAGAAAGGGGTGAAGTACCTACCTGGGTTACAACAGGGAATCTGTATCAGAGGCAGGAATCAAATCAGCTGCAATCACACATCCACTAAGGAGCGATCCACATGCCTAACACAACGACATCAGCAGAAGCACAAGAAAACATGCCTCTTAGATTTCATCCCAGGGCCTGCCAGACTGTGATCAGCATTTCGCCTGGGAAGCTGTGCTCTTCCTAAACCCCCCTTATTTGGGGTGTGTTCCATTCTGTGTGTCACCAGCCCCCCGGGGCGTAGTTAGCCCCTGAAATCCGAGGTTCGCTGTTTCACCCAGTCCTTGGCAGTCTGATCCCCATTTGCACATTGACTGTGGTGGGTTGTGGGAGGGAACTACCACCCCATCTCATCTGTGGGTGCTTTATAATTATCCCGTTCTCAACTGGGATCTGCAGGGAGAGAGAGAGAGAGAGAGAGAGAGCATGTGTGTGTCATACTGTGATTCCATGGCCTTTGGCTTCACCCACAACCTGCCTCTTTAAAAGCCATTTAAAAGCAGTCGTGCCCCAATGCAAATGCTTCCCCTCTGCCCTCTGGTAGCAGTTCATTAGTGGAGGCAAATGACTGTACTAATTTATTTGTGATGGGAGGCGTTTACACAGCATGAGACACATGCCCCGTGGGACCGTCACTTCTCTGAAGAAAGAAATCCCGTGTGACAGCAGGAAACCCCGGCTTTGTCCAAAGACAACAGCCTGAACGGGATCCCGGCGGGGAAGAACAGCCCGGCTGTGCGCAGAACTCTCCCTCGTTTCCAGCAAGCCCACAGCTGACTCTCCAAGGGAGACATCACCGGAGGCTCAGGAAGAGCGATAAGCAGGGCTGGGGAATGAAGGCTGGATTAAGCCTACCGAGAGCATGGACCCAGGCGGGGAGCTCTATGGGCCTGTGGTGCCCATGCTAGACCAAAAGCAGAGCAGGGGAGCCCAGCTCCATCAGTATCTGGGACCGCAAGCCTCCTATGGAGCATCCCTGCACCCTGGGAAGTAGCTGGCCTCTGCTCCCCATCCCTCTTCCTCAGGCAGAGCTACAATCCCCCCGGCTGACGAGGCTCCAAGGACCCCTCCCATTCCTGTCTGGGGGAGCCAGCCCACCCCGCTCTGGGGAAAACCCATAGGATCTCTTGTGTTAAAGCTACTTGTGATATGCCCCATGCAGGTTCCAGGGCAGCTGGGGCAGGAGTGCTCATAGAATCCCAGGGCTGGCAGAGACCTCGGGAGCCATCGAGTCCAGCCCCTGCCCAAAGCAGCACCAACCCCGACTCAATCAACCCAGCCAGGGCTCTGTCCAGCCAGGACATAAAAACCTCTAGGGATGGAGATTCCACCCCCTCCCTAAGGAACCCAGCCCAGTGCTTCCCCACCCACCTAGGGGAATAGTTTTTCCTAATATCCAACCTAGACCTCCCCCGCTGCAACTTGAGACCATTGCTCCTTGTTCTGCCATCTGTCCCCACTGAGAACAGCCTCTCTCCATCCTCTTTGGACTCCCCTGCCTCTCAGGAAGTTGAAGGCTGCTATCAAATGCCTCCTCTCTCTTCCCTTCTGAAGACTAAGTAAGTCCAAATCCCTCAGCTTCTCCTCATAGGTCATGTGCTCCAGCCCCCTCATCATTTTCGTTGCCCTCCGCTGGACCCTCTCCAATGCATCCACGTCCTTCCTGTAATTGGGGGCCCAGAACTGGACACAATACTCCAGATGTGGCCTCACCAGAGCCGAACAAAGAGGAATAATCACGTCTCTAGATCTGCTGGCAATGCTCCTTTTAATGTACCCTAATAGGAAATTAATCTTCTTGGCAGCCTGGCTCAAAGAACAGGGCGTGTGTCTCTCGGGAAATGTCAACACTGGGTTTCGTCCCCACGCGGGGTGAAAAGTCGAGCAGCAAAACTTTCCGATGCACGAAACGTTCTCGGAAGTTTCGGTTTGGAAATGTCAACGTGAAATGTTGCAGGTCGACAGCAGTGCTGACCCTCGGGGAGCTGCCGCCCTCACCCCCAGCTTGAAGCGGCTTCCATCATCCCCAGGGTTTGGTTAATGGCTCTCTGCAGTCCACTGGACACATTGCTCCAGCTTCTCCACCTTCTTCTCAGTTGCCATAGTGCCTGAGGGGAGCTGTAGCTCCAGGACACTTATGCCCTGTTTCTCCGCTCTGGGCCCAGCTCCTGGGACAGACTTCCCTGGAGTTCCATGGCACATCTTAGCGGGGCGAGTCTTTGCCCCACCATGAGAAGATAGTCCAGCCACGGAGCTGGGCCCATAGAGCAGTGTGGGGACACAAGAGGCTTGGAACTACAACTCCCATGAGACTCTGCAACACTGACACGTTGTTATTTTCATTTGTTATTTTCCCTTACACATATCTCTGAAATTGATCTTTTCCCCTGGACAATTCCTGGTTTGACAAAAAGACTCTTTTCTAACGTGAAGCTATTTCATTTTCTCTCACCCCATCTCAGACCCCTAAAGTTTGTCCTCCTTTGGCAGGCCAAGTGACGTGGTAGTGTGTGGGGAAATCTTACATTTTTTGCTCCCTTGTCAGTATCTGTTCTGTTACTGTCTGAGCCCTCACGCCCGGTGATGTCAATCCACCACCTCCCACTAATTCCACTTTAAACAAGAAAAGGGCATTGAAATGAGCTGTTTTTAAGTTCCTTCAGTCATGCCAATTACACAAGCATTCTGCGAATTTCTTCCCTTGTAGATAAAAGTGGCCCCCAAATCCTCTTACTCATCTAATAACTATCTAAATCATTTTCAGCGTCTCCGATAAATGTTTCACTTGTTTCAAATGTCTCCCATCTTCGGAAGAACTCTGGATCCATATAGAATAAAGCAGAACAACTGATAGACTGCGGTACATTTTGCAGAATTAATTCCGTCTCAGGGAACAAGCTACATTCCAGTTTATGATGTGACCAGAAATCCTCCTCAAAATCATCCCCTCGTAAATCGCTTCAGCGTCTCCGATAAATGTTTCACTTGTTTCAAATGTCTCCCATCTTCGGAAGAACTCTGGATCCATATAGAATAAAGCAGAACAACTGATAGACTGCGGTACATTTTGCAGAATTAATTCCGTCTCAGGGAACAAGCTACATTCCAGTTTATGATGTGACCAGAAATCCTCCTCAAAATCATCCCCTCGTAAATCGCTGCATCCCATTCACTATTCCGGCTGCGTTATGAATAGATATGATGTCACTCCTATGTACCCGTCAATCACACCTACATAATAAGGAGGGCTGATTGGCAGCTCGGGATGAGAGAGTAAACAGAATGCACGGCAGACGGAAACATTCCAGCCATATAGCATTTTTAAATGAAAGAGAACACACACCACAACCGCCTAATGCAAGGTTATCATGCAAAATGTGGATGCTGGTTAGCAGCTCTGAAGAAGGAAGTCTGCTCCCTCAGAAACATCAGACGGTCCAAACTCAGTGCTAGTGACTGCGCAAATTACTGCTTAGAATTTAGCCTCCCTCTGATAACCAAAGAGCTGTCTTTGGTACCACCAGTCTGCACCCACCACACCTGGGCATCAGACCTTGGCAAGGAGACAGTACCATGAGTTGAGCTGGTTTTCACTCTGCCCAGGTTGGAGGCATCAGGCCGGATTGCCTGGCCTGGCCACGCTCTGTCTGGCGTAAGATAAAGGAGGAAGGTGGCTTTAAACCACCTGTTCAGCTTCTGAAGCTAACGCGAGCCAATTTGGACTACAAAGTTAGAGCAGTCCAAAGGCAGCTCTGCCTTATGCCAGCTGTTCTAATGCATGCTTACAGTTCCCAAGGTGGCCATTTGAGATCAGTGAGCCAAGGAGACACAAGGCCCGCATGCCTCTTCTCCTGGACAACCCACCCCCACAGCAGGCACTATGAAGGATGAAAGCACTGGAGTTGCTATGACAGCTCCCCACTGTTAGCCAAGGGGAATCCTACAAGGGGATGGCCTTTATGTCTGATTTGCACAGCCGGAACAGCCAGAGCAGAGATGAGGATACTAAGACAGGCGCCTCCATGCACACTGCGCAGCCGGAACAGCCAGAGCGGAGCTGAGGATCTGGCCAGTCTGGTTCACTCTGGTCATGCTCAGATACTAAGACAGGCGCCTCCATGCACAGTTACTTTCCATGCACTGTCCTTTCAGACTTCTCCCTGGCTCTTGCAGGCTGACTGCTTGGAATCTCTTCCAAAGGTGTCCCAAGGGAGTACAAGGCAGGGGGGGTACACAGGTACCATGGGCAGGGCTCCAAAGTACAGTTCTAGAAATGGAGCCTGGGCACATTCGGGGAGACCAAAAGGCATCATGTCTCTAGACATGGGACTTGCTCACCTCCCCTGGGTAGCCTGGCCTTGAGCAGCTCAGACATCCTCAAGCACATGTCCCCTTGCACCCGGCCACATCCACCTTGGCTTCCAACCCACACGGATGCCATGTACCATCCCTGGTCACTTGGGCCTCACTGGATGATCACTACCAGACCCTAACTACATCAGCCACAACACCAGAGGCTCTGACAACTGCACAGCCTCTATTGTGAGAGATACCAAAAGTGCCAGCAATGCCTCTCTGACATGGACATGGGCCAAACTGGACAGTCTCTGCAACCAAGGACTAATGGACACAAATCAGACATCAGAAATGGTAACACACAGAAATCTGTGGGGGACCATTTTGACCTGGCTGGGCACTCATTCAGGGATTTAAAAGTAGCCATTCTTCTACAAAGGAATTTCAAAAGCCAATTACAGAGAGAGACTGTGGAATTGACCTTCATATGCAAATTTGACACTGTTTCCCTGTGCCTGAACAAAGCCTTGAACTGGATGGCCCATTATAAAACCAGCTTTCCTTACATTTAACACCCCACTGACATCAAAAGCTAAGTATGGGACACTTCCATCCCACTCAGCCTCATTAGCATCGGCACTACAATTGACGGGTTTGTTTTCCCCCCCCCCTCTCTCTCCTTTTTCTCTTACATATTCTGAGGGTCCCCCTTTTTTCTCCACTCCAGCTCATCAGAGGAAGTGGGCTGTGCTATGTACATATTGTTGTTAGTCTCTAAGGT